ATGAGGAGCTATGCTCATGCTTTCAGAAGGCACCAAATTCATATGTACAGATTTGGTTCAGTGGCAAATCCTTTCTTGTTATGATGAATCTTGTTTTACTGTGTGGCCACATTTATAATAACGACTATAAATCAAATGATGAAGAGGTTGAGGAGCCATGCTCCTACCCCCATCCTTCTAACACAGAAGCCATCGCTTTGTACTTTAAATTGTAGTGTGGACATACACACACAGTACTTACACAGTGATGTTTCATAATAAGGCCTATATCAAATGCCAGCAGGAGCACCGAAGCTGGAACAAGGTGCTGTGCTCAGCTAGTGGGGAGAGGCATATCAGTGAGGCACTTGAAGAGTAGAGTATCTGCCCAGAATCTCAAGACATGAGTAAGACTCTCCAGGACAAATCAGAAGAAAGTGCATTCTAGGTGGAGAGAACACTGAGTACCGAGTTCAAGGGTGTGGAAGTGCATGGCCTGTAGGGACAGTGAAGGATGGAGGTGGCTGTGGGTTCAGCTGAGTTGGAGAGTGGAAGGACAAAATATCAAAGCCAGACAGGTAGACTGGAACAGAGATAAGAGCCTGTTAGATGAACCCCATGGTTTCAACACTGACATTGTCAACATCTGGAGCCAGATCCCTCTTTGTTGGGGGGAGGGGGCGGGGAAACAGTTGCCATCTTGTGCACGGCAGGATGTTCAGCAGCATCTCTGGCCTTTACCCACGGATGCCAGTGGCACCCTCACCACCAGCTGGGACAACTGAGCATGTCTCCAGACATTGCCAATGCCTCCTGGGGAAAACTGTCCCTGGGGAAATTGTCGCCTGCTGTTGTAGCATGATAGAGATGATCTAGAATAGATGATCAGTGGTTATTTGTGCAATGACGAAATGAGGGGAGCACAGACAAAAAGACTGGGCAGGAGAAAGGACACATTCTCTTGGCTCGGCATGGCCGCAGTGAGCCGAGATCAGGCCACTGCACTCCAGCCTGGGAGACAGAGCAAGACTGTTGAAAGAAAGGAAGAAAGAGAGAAAGCGGATGGGAGAAAGAAGGAAGGAAAGAAGGAGGGAGGGAAGGAGGGAGAGAAGGAAGGAAAAGAAGGAAGGAAGGAGGGAAGGAAGGAAGGAAGGAGAAAAATAATGGTTTTCTATTGAAAATAGCTATATAAAGTTTCCTTTCAAGTGTATTTGCAAGGAAGTTGATTCTGACAAAAACACACTGTTTCTCCCAGTACTAGACTGTCGACACAGACACGCTCTGACTCCAGATGTGTGGGAGTTCCCTCCCCCAACCACACAATTCTCCAGCAGCCATTACAATTTCAACACCATCTACCTGGAGATAGTATCTAAAGCAGCTTGGTATGAATAATCAAAGACAGCCCTATCATTCAGGAAATCCCAAGGGTTTGAGGAGCTCTCTGACGGAACTGGGGACAAAGACCAAGTACGTTTCCTCTTAGACCACATTGATATAAACAAATCAAGTAGCAACGGTGCGAATGCAGGCCTCCATAACCGCTGTTTCAGTACTGACTGAATGGGTAAATAGGAAAACCCGAAAGAGCCAGTGTCCTTATACAAAGACTGTAACAAAAGCCCACCAAGAGCTTTGCCAAGGCCTTTCCTGGGCCTTGAAGCATGACAAGATGGCGAAGGAATTCAGAACCTGTTTAGGATTTTTATTGGGGGTCTGAAGAAACTCCCTAGGCTTCCACCAACAAGTTTATTGGGGGGTCTAAACATCCATGATTTAGCGGGAGACAAGATTAGGGTCATCACCCCCAGCACCTGGACCCATTTAGATTAAGTAAATTTACTGAGGCTCCAGAGGAAGGTCTTCAGGACTCAGATCTTAGGTATAGATTAGAAGAAGTTAATCACTTATGTTTTTAGATTAATGCACACTTTACATAGACATATAGCTTAGAAGGTATACAAGCTCTGGAAAACTTTATAATTTTGAGTTAGTCTAGTGACAATTTCCAGGCCTTCTTCCTGTAACCGGTTAACTCCCTTCTCTCCCAGGTCATCTGCATCTGGTTATTGGGCCTTGAGAATAAGCAGCTGGACCCTCGGTTTGTTCCGCGAACAATGGGACAGGTGGAATGAAGATAGGGCAACAACTGTTGGGATGGTATGCAGGTGAGGGCAGTTTGGAAATAACAGTAGCGGAGGCCCAGCTGAAGATGAAGTGCTTCTCCTGCCAGGCCTGTCTCTGGAGCCGGTTAACATGGGGCCATGCATGTCGGTGCCGCCATCTGCCTCTTCCCATACCAGCCCCTGATCCCAGCCTCTCAGCCAAACCCTTTTCTGCCCACCACCTTCCGTAAGGACCCAAAGGCTGCACTTCACAGTTCTGGGTCTCTTGGCAGTGAACGCCCAACCCTCCCTTTAAATATCCTCTAGTTGATTCTTGCCAGGTGCAGTGGCTCATGCCTATAATCTCAACACTTTGGGAAGCAGAGGCAAGCAGATCACTTGAGGTCAGGTATTCTAGACCAGCCTGGTCAATATGGTGAAACCCCATCTCTACTAAAAATACAAAATTAAGCTGGGCATGGTGGTGTATGCCTGTAATCCCAGCTACCTGGGAGGCTGAGGCAGGAGAATTGCTTGAACCTGGGTGGCGAAGGTTGCAGTGAGCCAAGATCGTGTCATTGCACTCCAGCCTAGGCCTGGGTGACAGAGTGAGACTCTGTCTCTAAATAAATAAATTTCCTCTAGTTGATTCTCGACTTGTGTTTTGGTTCCTGGCCAGTTTTAAAGTTCCTTGTAGGTATGAGTCACATCTTCATTCTTGACCCAGGCATGGAGCTCGACAAGAGCCCAACAGAAGATCCCAACAGGAAGGGTGTGGAGATGTGTGTCATTCCTGGGGCAAGGGCCACAACTGCCAGTCACCTAGTTAATTTCAAATCAAATTAATGATCTGTTAATGACTTACCTGTTTCTGTGAAAGGCATTGTCAAGTTATACAATGCTTAAGTATCTAAAAACCATTAATTTGCTTCCTCTGTGTCTCCTAAGAGAGTCTCCAGGAAACATTCGTAGTGAAAGTCTTGCCCTCCAAATCCAAGTAAGAGATGGTATTATTTCCACCATGGGGAGACACACAGAAAAGACAGCAGGGTCCTGGATCTCCATCTTTCCATGGCCCATCCCATCACTGTAGATCTAGTAAGTAAATTTAGACTGATAGAGTGTGTGTGTGTTGGGGACAGAGGAGATAGGTGTTATTTAATTTTCATGACTAAAACACAGAAATTTTGAACTCGAGGGTAGAATAATGTTCTCTAAAATAAACAGAACAGGAATGCTGGATGGTGAACAGCCTAATTGAACTCCAGGAATAGCAGGGACAGGCTGTTCTGTGCTTACAGTTCCTGAACTAGTGTTTTTAACACCCAGCGACATTAACTTCGCATCTTAGTCAAGGCTGAGGCACTCTCAGCAGTCCTTAAAGCATTACCTCCCTAAGAAATCACTCTAAGTACCATAGGTTTAAAAAAAGAAAATCTCAGGTACCACAAATTGCACTTAGCAACTGCCCAACCATATTATTTCCTTCCTGTCTAATTTTTCTGTTTTCTTATATAAAAGACCTATGCTATTTTGAACAATGATCCTCCCTCCTAAAGTAGCCTGGCTTTTTATTTGTTTTTAACAATCAAACAAGCTACGAACAAGAATGAAGAGGTCCTTCTAACTAGCTTCTAAGTAACTAGATGTAAAGATTTTCCTCCATAACCATCATTTAAAATGGCAAATTGTTCTGTTAGAAGGTAGACGTCTGTGGAGAGTGTGGGAGAGCAGGGTGGGAAGCCCTGTTCTGAAAGCTAAGCCAGGCAGTTTGTCCCCTGGACAAGGCTCATCTCTGAATGAAACCACATGTCACCCTCCTGCCCCTGCACTTCTTAGTCATTCTTTCGTCCATTGATGAAACAAATAATTGTCATGTAGGAATGGGGAAATCGCTGAACAAGTCTGGCAAGAGCCTCGTCCTCAGGGGCTTACAATCTAGTGAAAGTTTTGACCTGCTCCGTTTCCGACGTGGGCCCGTGCTGATCAGTAGTGGGATCGCGCCTGTGAATAGCCACTGCACTCCAGCCTGGGCAACATAGCGAGACCCTGTCTCTAAAAAAAAAAAAAATCTAGTGGAAGTTACAACAAATAAACTAGATGATTCCATTAATTCATTCATCCCACAAATAGCTATTAATTTTTTTCATTTTTCAATAATCATTGAGCCTTGACTATATAGGAGACACTGAGATTTATTTTGGAACAAGACAGGCAGGGTCCTTGACTTCAAGGGCTCAGTTCGAGTAGGAGTTACAACAAATAAATGAACAAGGTGATGTCAGAGGGGTAAGCGCTAAGAAAAATGCAACAGGATGTTGTGTTGGAGCAGAACAACAAAGGTCGGAGGATCTGCTAAGAAAGGGTGACGAGGGAACCCTCTCTGGGAGAGACATCTCAGCTCAATCATCCTACGCACCTAGGGCAAGGTCTGCCAGGCCAGGAAGCTTTCCACCCGCCCCTTCGCTGTGCTTCCGGACTGCACCCCTGGTTGGGGTATTCATGGCATGTCTGATGTTAGCTTCTCCGCATCACGCCTTACTTATCCCTTCTGAGGGCTGCAAGCTCCTGGAGGGCAGGTGGGAGGGGCACAGCCGACCGGCTGGCTGGCTGGTGGATTTGGGACAATAGATCGGGCTGACCCCAGGAGGTGGCAGGAACTCTATAGGGTACCAGGAAATTTTGCACAAGTGAGCACCACAAGGAACATCCATGTCAGCAGGCTGACCGGATGCGTCCACACGCCCCGAAACGCCAGGCGAGGCCGTGCTGGGCCAGAACGACAAGGAGGGCCGGGCGGGAGCTCAGGCACCTCCTGGACCCGACCCAACGCTGCCCAGAGGTCAGGGCTCCCGCCCCCGCCCGCCGCGCCTGCGCAGCACAGCTCCCGCGCCGGCGCCTCCAGGTGCCGTCTACGGCACTGCGCCGGCGCGTTGCGCCGAGCGCTAAGGGGCGTGGTTTCCTTGCGCCGCGCGCAAGGCTGGGGCAAAACCCGGACCGGGATAGGGCGTGGGGCCGCGCGTGGGGACGTCCCTCGCGTCGGGCCTGTCGGCGCCTGCGCGCTGCGCGGCCGGCTGGTGTGCTGGGGGCGGGGCGGGGGCCGGTGTAGCCTCTGTACCTAGTTGTGCCCCTGGCGCCGCCGGGTCATCGCGCAGGTCGCCGGCGCCATGAAGATCTGGACATCGGAGCACGTCTTTGAGTAAGTTTGGGGCGCGGGGACGGCTCCGGGGAGGGTGGGCACGCCGGCTCTGGAGTCCAGGCGAGGCGGAGGCGGCCCTCAGGAGGCTGCCAGGCGTCGGGCCTAGCGAGAGGAGCGAACCCTGAAGCCTGCGGGCCCCGGGGACACTGAGGGCTGGCCAAGGTCACGACCCCGAGGCGCCCGAGCCGAGGGGACGGCTCCGACCTCCGGGCCCAGGCGGCCTTGCGACTGGGAGGGCCGCCGAAGCCACTTCCGGCCTGTCCCCCGCCAGGAGGCGGCCTCGGGCCAGCGGCCTCCCGAGGTCCTGGGGGCGTCGCGGAGCACGAGGTCCGTGACTGCACTTCGGGTTGCCACGTCCCGCCCCGCCGAACCCCTCTGGGACGTGGACCCGAGAATCTTCAGAGGCAGGTGTTGGCCGCCGTCGGGGTGGAGTTCCTACCTCCGATCGTGAGTTGTGGGTGAACTCGGGCCACCAGGATGTGCGACCTTTTCCCAACCTGCCCAGCCAGGCCGCAGAGCGCTGGATTTGGAATTCACGGTCTAGCTCTGGCGGCAACGAGCATGTGACCTTGGGTTTCCCATTTTCGTCTGAGACACGGAAGAGGACGGTCGTCCTGGCCTACCCGTGCTGAAACTCTTTGAGGTCATGTTCAGGAACGTCTTTCTGGATAGGGTGAAATGTTTATGAATGAAAATAGGCCTTGAACCAGTTGGATGTGGAGAATTAAATTCTCTTCCAGGTCCATAATTCCGTGAACAAAAAAGGCCACAAACTTAAAGCAGCAAATTTTTTTTTTCCCTGAGTTACCTGCTCTCATCCGCTGATCTTAATGTCCTTGCCACAGTTTTAATCAGTATAGCCTTATAAATAAATATACTACAAAGCCATTTCTGTTTTAAAATGTGTCTCTGAAGGTAACTTTTATTTTTTTTATTTTTGAGGCAGAGTCTCGCTCTGTCGTCCAGGCTGGAGTGCAGTGGCACCGTCTTGGCTCACTGCAACCTCTGCCTCCCATGTTCCAGTGATTCTCCTGCCTCAGCCTTCCAAGTATATGGGGTTACAGGCGCCCACCACCACGCCCTGCTAATTTTTGTGTTTTTAGTAGAGATGCTGTTTCACCATGTTGGCCATGCTGGTCTCCAACTCCTGACCTCAAGTGATCCACCCACCTCGGCCTCCCAAAGTGCTGGGATTACAGGTGTGAGCCACCGCGCCCAGCCTCTGAAGGCAACCTTTAAAACATTGTCAGCATTTGTACTTAGCAGGACACATCCTAAGACCTGCTGTATCCTGCAAAGTGTAGAATATTAGAATCAGAAGGGAGCTTTTTTTTTCCTTCCTACTGTTTACAGTCTTTGTGGGAGGAAGAAGGCCTGAAAGTTGTAGTCATTCTAATGTTCATTAACCTAGTCACATTCATCACTAGTCCAGTTCAGCTGTGGGGAGGCTTAATTTCATTCCTCTTCCAGGTTTGCATGCTTCAGAAATTCTTGGCACTGAGTCTCTTTAGAACTTTGTCCTCCCTTGCCAGGCTGGGTGGCTCACGCCTGTAATCCCAGCACTTTGGGAGGCCGAGGTGGGGAGTTTGAGACCAGCCTGACCAACATGGAGAAACCCCATCTCTACTAAAAATACAAAATTAGCCGGGCATGGTGGCACATGCCTGTAATCACAGCTACTCGGGAGGCTGAGGCAGGAGAATCACTTGAACCCAGGAGGTGAAGGTTGCAGTGAGCTGGGATCACGCCAGTGCACTCCAGCCTGGACAAAAGCGAAACTCTGTCTCAAAAAATAAAGCATTTTCTTCTCCCTTACCTTTCCTACTGCTCCGTCCTGACCAGTCCCCTGCTTCCCTCTGTATTCTTTCTGCCTTAGTCTTCAGCGCTTCCTTGTCTTTTTCCCATTCAGTGTAAATGTTCAGTGGGATTCTGTTGTTGGCCTTCCTATGATGGATTTCATCTATGATCTTAATTTCTTTTTTTTTTTTCTCTTTTTGTCACAGACTTTTTTTATCCTGGGAGAAGAAGCCCTGATCCGTGCTTTCTCCCCATATAAACCGGGCTGTTTGGTCAAAGTCCCAAATGATAAGTACACATTTATGGCACCCAGATCTGTACCTTGAGCTCCAGCCTCTCCAGCTTCACTCTCTATTTTCAGGTGCCTGTTAGGCATTGCTACCCTCCTGTCCCACAGGCCCTTCAAACTCAGCCTACCTGAAGTTGAAGTCATAATCTCCCCTCACAAATCTGAATGTTGTTTCTCATCTTTAGGATGTTACTGTCTAACAACAATATCTAAGTCATCATTCTACATCTTATCTACTGATTTTCCAGCACTTGCTTCCAAGGCCTCTTCTGAGGCCTACAGTTGGCAACCAGGTGAAATCATTCATTGACTCCTTCAACATACAGAGATGCCCAGTATGTGTCAGGCACTGTTCTTTGGATTGATTACATTTTATTAAGTAAATGAAGACATTGTTGCTGCCCCAGTGAAGTTAACAATGTCCTCACCTGATTTCAAGGGTGAAGAAGTGGGACAGGTCAGTGAGCCATAGCCCGGTCCTCCTGATTCTACTTTGGTACGGTCTTTCAATGTCTTCCATTATGAGATCCTTTTCACATAATTATGTTAATATAGTTCATATTAATTGCTGGAAGATTATTAATCGTAATAAGGATTGTTTGTAATGTTTGAGCTCGTTATGGTTCATAAAATAATCTTGAGCCACGCTAAGTCAACATCAGTGGTTTTAAGTTGGTTCAAAAAGAGGAGATGGACTCCATTACAAATAATGCATGACCACCCTGAGGCCATGCGATTATTAATTTTTTAGAGAGGGTTGGGGGAAGAGATAAGGGCATGGAAGCCAGCTAACCATGGTATAAGACTGGATGGAGACCTGTGGAGGGTTTATCTGATTTTCATTTTAGATAGTTGCCTTGGTAAGAATCAGAGTGCTTGGCCTGTGTGCTTCTATTTGTGGGGACTGTTGGGATTGATGAAGCAACTCTGCTTGTGTATCTGCATTGATTGCTGGATAAGGCTGGAGACAAAGACATAATGAGGTTCATCTGTATAATATTATAGAGAAAACAATATTATAATGAAAACATTAAAAATAATGTCACTGGTTATCCAGGGTTCTGGGAAATTAATGTAGTAGAGATTTTCCTTTTGTTGACAAGATGTAGTTGTCAATCTGAGGTCTCTAAAAAGTTGGAATAATTTCATTTTTAGACAAATAAAAAGTAATGCTGTGTGACTTATCAGTCATTGTAGCTTGAAACATCATCCCCAGGTCTTGTCTTTTTCCTTCAAATGAAGATGAGAGCAACAGATAAGTGGTGTAGAAGGGGCTAGAATCAGACTGCAGGTGGACTAAATCACCCTTAATACTGATTGTACTTAATAAGGGGTCCTTTTGAAAATGATGTCTTTTGTTCAAGTGTCTTATTCACAGAAGTTGTGAAGTGAACAAAGGTGCATCACATTTTGAATCACCCAAGCACTGTGCTTTTTCAAGAAAAGAAGATACTGCAAGTTCTCAAGTGATGTAATATTCTCACCACTTCAATACGAGGTGATAAGCAAGTGCTTACAATATTCAAAGAGAATATTAGAAAGTAGCATATTAGGAGTGCCTTAAGGACATTTTATTGTATTGAGTGACCTTTTCAAAACAGAAATCAGAATCACTCCTTTGAGAAAAACAATGAATAAAGATTGACTGGAGGGAATGTTATTTATTACATTAATATGAAGGAAAAGTTCAATAATTAAATCAAAGCTTTGGATCTTTTTTGTGATCCCCGTAAGAGTTTATAGTGCCCATAAATTCTTTTACTTTTGTTACTTCCTTATAACCTGATAGAATTGGGGTCAGACAAAATAACAAATAGCATAATGGTACTTTTGGCTCTTTGTTTCAGTAGAACACAATTTTAAATACATTTTCTTGAATCACTGGTTCTTCCTAGAAATAATTTGCATGTGAACGAGGATAATGGTAAGTAGGAAAGATGGTTTAAGAAACTATACTGTAATGCTTTGCAGGCTACTTTGATCTTTATAGATATGAGTTTTATTTACATAGCCTGTATTGTGGAAAAATACTGAAGCCTGTTAAAAATGTAGATCGATTTCCCATAATCATCATTGTTTCAGAAGATAATTTTTCCTTGGAAAACTCATTAAACTTACATTATAAAGAATGATTTGATGGATTATAAAAACTGTTTAACTCATATGCATATTTTTAAATGTTTGGGTGTTTTGATTTGTTTTGTTTTGGTTCACATCGGCAGCCACCCATGGGAAACTGTTACAACAGCTGCAATGCAGAAATACCCAAACCCTATGAACCCAAGTGTGGTTGGAGTTGATGTGTTGGACAGACATATAGATCCCTCTGGAAAGTTGCACAGCCACAGACTTCTCAGCACAGAGTGGGGACTGCCTTCCATCGTGAAGTCTGTAAGTGTGTCTTTATTCCCGGAGAAATGTGACTGCTGTAGAGAAGTTTTCTAAACTGCATTACAATTTCAAATAGGTTGTGGGAGCCAATTCTGAATGTCATTTTTGCATCAGTTCAAGTTGTATTATAATAAACTTGAGTTATGAGTGTATAATGAATTGGAAATATTATTACAGTCTTCATGAAGGCACCCGATAGAATCTTCTGAAGGAAGTCAGCTAATTCTGTGTAAGCTGAATAGACTTACATTCTGCTTTTTCTGCTTTTGCCAACAACTTGAGACCAATCTTAAGGTTTGGAAGTAATGGTCTGGTCATGATTGTTAGGTGACAGTTCTGTGATCAGTGGTGTGTTGGGTACATTAAGTAAGGAGTATGTTCTCGGACTTGTTCTTGCCACATTTGTTCCAAGGTCTGGAACCTCCTTCCTGTACCTTTAGAAATAATTCTATTCCCTTAAGAATAAGCTGGCTTTAGTGAGCAGAGTTAACCAAGAAGACACTGAATGCCAGTTTACCATAATGTGAGAAAACTGGTGTAATAGTAGATTCAGGTTTCTGTAGAGGGTCTCTTTAAGGAAAGTAGGTTCACTAGGAAAACAAAAGTTTACATTTCATTAGGAATGTACTTACTGCCTCCTTTATGCAAACCATGGCATTAGCTAGTATGGACTTAGAAATGAGCAAGGTCAGGGGATGGGCTTGGGGTCTTAGCACAGGGAGTGACTGTGGACACTGATGTGTGATCCTCCATCATGAGAAAGCTGTTTTTCTGTCTGGAGAATGAAGCTGAGGTGCCACCTCCCTCGGACTGTTCTGGGAAAATACAGATGCTTTCGAGTTCTCCTTTTTTCTAGCAGCAATGTTGCCCCAAGCCTGATTTTCATAGTTCAGCCTCAGTGCTCCACCGTTGTGTCTCAGCAGATTCATCGTGGTGCCTCATGTTGCAGACATCTCAGTGGGCTGGTTTCAAATTGCCTGTGGGAAAAGGTTTTGTGTCTTTTGACAGTCTCATCTCATCCATGTTTTGTCAGTAGGCCTTTTTTCTGACCTTTGCTTGTTTCTTCTGGTTTTTAAGAAACAGGTTTTTCGTTCAAGATATTGACATTTTTTTCTGCAAATGAAATATTGATGCACTTGGTAAGAAATTCTCCCTCTTCTGATTACTAATTCTGAATGTTTTACTTAGCTTATTGGTGCAGCAAGAACAAAAACGTATGTGCAAGAACATTCTGTAGTTGATCCTGTACAGAAAACAATGGAACTTAAATCTACTAATGTAAGTCTTGGCCCCCTTTTGTTTCATTTTGAACTGTCTGACTGAGTTCTTTGTGTCTCTTCTAGTTGACATACAAGTGAGTGCATGTTCACGGGGTGGTTTAGAGACTCCCTGCGCATGCGCAGGCCAGACTCGGCCCTGTGTGTCGCTTCCTTACCCTTCCTGCTCTGATGATCCTGCCTGTCTCTAAGGGGATAGCACTCAATAAAATGACTTTGGGATTATGTGTATTATCATTATACTTTCTTTCCTCAACTTTGTTTTTTAAATAAAAAGTAGGCAGTGAATAGTTTATGCAATAATAGCAGTGGTTTATTTGTTGTTTTGTTATGTTTAGCTACTAAGATTTTGGCTTGTGTGTTGATTTTGGAAACATTTTGAATCTTCAGTTCCAAAATTATTTGCTTTTTTTTTTCATTCTGTAGATTTCATTTACAAATATGGTTTCAGTAGATGAGAGACTTATATACAAACCACATCCTCAGGACCCAGAAAAGTGAGTAAAAAGTATTTTAACAAATGTATTGTAAAGGGTGTTGAAATTTTTTTTTTTTTTTTTTTTTTGTCAAATTTTTTGAAAATGAAAGTTGGGTCATCTGAACCAGCATGAGTATGTTTTGTTCCAGAACTGTTTTGACTCAAGAAGCTATAATCACTGTGAAAGGAGTTAGCCTCAGCAGTTACCTTGAAGGATTGATGGCAAGTACGATATCCTCCAATGCTAGTAAAGTAAGTGAGGCTGCTTCTTGGTTATTATTCCCTGGTTCATTTCCTAGACAAATGGGGTGCTGACTGGGTGTGTGTTCCTGTAAGCTGACCCTTACCCACTCTACCCTAGGAAACTGCAGCACCTTGAGCAGTCACTTATACAGGCTCTGGGTTCGCATCCAATCTCTAGCTTTTAGCCTTTCAACCTTGAGCAATTAAGTTAACCTTTCTGTGCCTCAGTTTCCCATTTTTGAAGTGGAGATTACCCATTTTGCAGGGTTGGCATGGAGTAAATGAGATAACACTGCAAGTACGTAGCCTGGGGCCCAGCACTTAGGAAGTGCTCAGTGATGTGTAGCTGTGTGTCATTTAAAGCACTGTTTCTCAACCTGTTTTCACTATTGTCTCCCCTCAACCTGTTTTAGACATTTTTTGCCTTATTGCCACCTCCATTAAGTTATATCATATCATGTATACATAAGTATGGACTTTATACATAAAAGAGAAAGATTTTTCCATCCCTCCAAGAACCAATTTTTGTTTATTGAGAACATTAAGTTTAGAGAAAGATGCCTAATGCACTGTTTCATGGCACATGGTTAATTCGGTCATTCAGTACTCAAGAGATACTCACGGATGCCTCCTCTGTGTCAGGCAGAGTGCTAGGCTAGACAGGGAATCCAGCAGGGAGCAAAACAAGTGTGGTCTCTGCCCTCGTGGAATGAAAAGGCAGGTGACGTTAATCACACAGCATGTCATTAGGAAAGAAAAGGTGCAGAAAGGTATGAGAATGTTTAATGAGTGCTGAGGAACTGATGTTTCTGCTGAGCACGTAATGGGGACAGGTTGATTGCAAGGGATATGCCAAGAAGAGTGTTCTAGGTGGAGAAGCTGCATGTATGAAGGCCCTGAGACAGGAAGTGGCAATTGCTATTTGTTTTTCAAGGAACTGCACAGAAGACCAGGAGAGAAGGGGTGAGGAGGGAGTTGGGGACCAGATCCTGTAGGAGCTTGTATAGGCTTTTGGTTTAAAATATAAAGCAAAGGGATTTTACCTTCTTGCCCCTAAAAAGGGGACCACTGTAATCATGAAATAAATAAGACATCCTTTTATTTAATTGTAGATTATTTTGAGAACAACTTTTGCATACAAAATAAAAGTCAGTTTATGGATCAAGCCAGTTGCTCAGTTGATGTTTGCTAAATAACATTAGAAAAGAAAAAGCCAGGACAAAAACGATATGTCATCTCAGATTTAGTTAAACTTGTCACACTCCTTGTTACTTCCTGGTGTGTCATTAATTCGATATATGCCTTTGCTCTCACTAACAATAAATGTATTGGATTTTTTTAAGGGCCGAGAAGCAATGGAATGGGTAATACACAAATTAAATGCTGAGATTGAAGAACTTACAGCCTCAGCAAGAGGAAGCATACGGACTCCAATGGCTGCAGCAGCATTTGCAGAGAAGTGATAGTGAAAGTTGGTAGGCAACGTCGGGTACTCCAGTTCTCTCCAAGCTGACTATATATTTATTTGTTATTTAAAAAATTCAACTATATTTTAGGTAATTTTTTTTTAAGTTGGTATAAGGCTATGACTTGATCAAAACAGATGCAGGGCCTGTAAATAAAAGGAATCATCTGAAATTAATGTTGTTTGAAATTAACTGTCTCATTTTGAGGGTTCCAGTATTTCTGTGAAAATTCAACAAGAATTCCTTGGAAATGAGTATTGATATTGAATCTTCTTAAGGTAGGATTTTCAAGTTTTTCATACACTGGAACTCCACGTGACTTTGGACCAACCCCAGAACAAAGCAGAGCCCAGTGCCCTGCCTACTGTACACTTGAACAGCTTGCACAAGGGAACTCACCTAAAAGGAGAAATTGTGTAGTTTTAAAATATATTTTGTGTAAAATAACTTGCTCTGCTATAAACCACCATTAAAAACCAATGTTTTGATTTGGTACTTAATATTTTTGGAGTGAAAATTATCACTAAAGTAACATGACTCCAACAGAAGTATGGTTTCATTATATTAAAGAGTACTGTATTGATTTGCCAAAGTTTTGTAACTTAGTAAAGGTATTAACTTCCTTGGATTTGTACTTTATGATTTAGTATGCTGTACCGTGGGCTGGTTATGTTAACTGAAAAAAATAAAGTCATTACCTGAGTTTTGCAGCACTCTAACTTAAACAGAAGAACGGCTGTTCACATCTTTTAGCATTTCACATTTGCCTAACTTAAAAATTGCCATGTGTCAAAATAATGGTTTTGTAATTGCTAAGGCAAGATATGTCAGGTTATTTGAATATAATTACTTTTTGAAGTAATTGTGACCACAAAACATTTTTTTTACATTAAGGAGCTGTACATCATTTGAAATTACTCAAGTGATGTCTTCCTCTGAAGCATAAACCCCAGGTACTGAATGTTTTTAATAATATGGTGCCACTGCAGGATTTGGGGTGGTGGGAAGGAACAAGGATAATGGTGGCGGGGAGGCTTGGCCTGAAAGTAACCAATGAGTGAATTGCACTGCAGCTTTTACTGATGGGAATTGTCAGAGGGCAGCTTGCAAACTGAAAGTCCAATAAATGTACTTTGTTTTATATTTTGTAGCAGCCAATTAGTAACCACTAAATAATAGCTTTGACATTTGCAGTTGTTGCATAGAGTATTTTTGCTACAAGATGATTAGCTCTTGCCTTTATTTTACAGTGCTTAGCATGATAAACTTCTAGTCATGTTTCCTATCAGAGAGACCAGTTATGTACATAACCACAGAAATAGTATAATCAAACTATTTTTAAATTCTCGTTTTCCTACATAAAAATTGTATAGCTTAATACTTTTTAGGACATTTGTAAAAGCAGATTAAATTTAATAAGGTTTCTGATTTTTTTGTAACCGGAGATAGTTTTACAAGTGAAATAACATTTCAGCTAAATACCACTAAATTGATATTTGATGAAAATCTGCCTTGTATAATTTCTGCAAATTATACTTGTTCTGAAAAAGGTTTCATGCCCTAATAAGAGATTTTTAAATCCTTATCCTTTGATTTTTTTAAACGCTGATCTAATTATAAAACTATAAAAATTTCATTTTCCAGTGCAGTTGGTTACGTTTTTTGAAATAGCTGGTAATTGATAGCTTTTACCTGTTAATCATAAATGCACAGCAAGCAAATGAATTTAAGAGGACTAAACTGGAATAAGTGTTCAGAAATGAAACCCTTGGACTATTTAATACTAAACTTGAAATGTGGATTAAGAAAAACTTTTGTTAATAAAAACTTTCTTTTAAGTATTGTTTTTCCTGATTATAATTCTTTTTAATAATTAAGGTGAAGAGCAAACGTTTGTGGTTTTTTTTCCCCCTCTTTGTGAGAGAAAACGCTTTAATTCCTAGACTGAGACTTGACCGCGTTGGATTAAGAGTTTGGTTCTCTAAATCACAGGCACTGAGATGAGCATTTTCCCTGCCGCGTGGCAGCTCCCCTGTGCGTCCAGCGGGTTTTCCTCACATTTTTCTTCCCATCCATCCCGGGCAACAGTGGCAACTGTTGCCTTACCCTCCGTCTTGTCACACATTGGAAGCAGGTCCTAGAACAGAAAACGCCAAAGGGGGTCGTCCCCCGGGTTTCCAGGGTTTACTGTCACTCTGGGAAAAAGGGTGCCTAAGCGTTTTTCTGAATCTCAGCTCTCAGGACACGCTTATCTGTCCACAGATTTTTAAAAAGCCGACGCCGTTTCCCTAAAGCGGGCGCAAAGCCAGGCCCTCGGGGCGACCGTCCCCGCACCGCCTCGCGTCCTCGCCTCCCGAAAGCACGCGGTTCCTCGGCCCCCGCGAGCGGGGTGGCCCCCCCCGGCCCTCTTGCCCCGGCCGCCCCCGCCCTGCCTACCCCCGTCGGGGTAATACGGAAGCCCGGGAGACACACGCCTCGGGAGCTCGCGGAGCCAATAGGTGGACGCAACCGGCCGGCCCGCCCGGGGATTGACACCCGCGGTCCAATTGGCTCCCCGCGCCAGGGGGCTTCCGCGGCGGGGCAACAGGGGCCGTGCGCAAGGGAGGGGCGGGACAGGAGGCAGTGATTGGCAGGTCCGCATGCCCCGCCCCTTCCGCTTCTATGGTCTGAACTTCCTGCGGCTGAACCGCCCGGCTGAGCCGACATTGCCGGCGTCTTTGCGATTCGACCCGACGCGCTCCGTTTTCTCGACAGCATGGTGGCCTACTGGCGACAGGCTGGACTAAGGTAGGTCCACGCCTCCAGAGGGAAGGGCGCCGCGAGCCCGGCCCGCACGCATCCAGGTGCCCAGAGGTCATGCAGGACGGCCGGGAGCAGCTGCCCCACGCGTGACCGGGACTGGATCGAGCCTCGGGTTCCGCCGCCAAGATGGCGTCGCTATGGGCAAAGCGCTCTGGAGGGCGCGGCCTCGGCCTCGCGTGGGAGTGCGCCTGTGTCCTGCCTCGCCTCCCGTCGGGGCGGCCCAGCACCCACAGAGTGCCCGTGGGCACCTTTGCGAATGGGAGCTTTCTCGACAGAGAGGTCAGCTCTTATTCAGCAAGCCTTTTCTTCCAGAATGGTGCTGAGCCAGGTGGTGAAGGTGGTACAGTCACAGCCACCTCGGGAAACAGATGGCTTTCCACGTGACCGCTGTTGGCAGCTTTGGTCTTTAATCCAGCATCGCGGTAGAGTCTTTTACAACGTTACACATATTTTTAAACTTTTAAGCCCTGTCAATCTCAGGTTTACTTATGTGTAAAAGCGGTGAAAGTCATTGGTAAACTGTAGAGAGCCCCTCACAAAGGTGAGAGTTGGTACCTGGAAGGATCAAATATGGAACCCGCTTGAGAACATGGTGTCTCACAGTGGAACCGCAAACCATTGGTTGTAGGTGTCACATCGGACCCATGCACCTGAATGAGCAGAAGTACCATGCTCCAGGTGACACACCTTTTTCGTTGACTAGATGATGTTGCACTTTCCATCTTGTGGGTATATGTGGCCGCTCTACAACTAAGCTTCCCGGTGTGCTGAGGTCAAGCAAGCAGTCTTGTAGAACTGGAGGATGGATGATCGACTACTGGATGTTAGGCCCAGTAGTAGATGCCATTTAGCCAACCCTCCTGTGATCCGTACCTTTTCACACTTTGTTTTTCCTCCTCCCAGCTGTCAGCAGGACAGGTATTCTCCTTTTATTCCATTGTTTTTTCAGGCGAATAAAGGTGGTGAAAAGGTTGACCAGCCTGAAGGTCACCCAGTTAGTAAGAATGGACGCAGGCATTGGAACTCATACCTGAGTCCCCAAAATAAATTCTAAAACGTGAGAAAATAGGCAGCACCCCTCCTCGCTTCCTGTTTTTCAAAAGTGTGAAAGGTGATCTGACATCTTTTGGAAACTACGTTGTTGATGGGAGCCCATCTACCAAACAGGAAGCAGGTTTTATGATTTTGCTAGCATTGATGATGTTCTCTAAGCACTTTTCAGTTTAATTTAGAAATCTTGATGAGGAAGTATTTTCAGTGGCAGATTTGTAACGCAGAATTCAGTATTCTCAGGAAAGCCTTTAAATAATTTAGTACAAGAAGAACTGTTTTAATTCAAAATAGTTTTTTCTCTTAATTAGGTATACCTCACCTTGCAAGAATAATTAAAGCTTTAAGGAGAGAGAATTGATTAATCATGTTATAATCTCTGTTAACATTTTGGTTTATTTTTTTTCTGTGCTGTGGGATTTTTTAAAACATCTATGCAGCTTTTATTTTGAATTAATGTACTCTAAAGAGAAAACAGTACAAAAAAGAAAAATCAGAGGTCATGCATCCAAACACCAGTTAATACTTCGGTACATTTTTTTCTAGTGTTATTTTTCTTTGTATAGATTCTTTTTGGCGTTAGTCATATTTTTAAATACAGTTGTACACTAAGGTACAACCAAACCAAAATAAAAAGTACAGGAAGAAAAGCGAAAGCACAGTAACAGCTGTCTGGCTGGAATATTGATAATTAACCATATACCTTCGTTTTCTCCCAGCTACATCCGATATTCCCAGATCTGTGCAAAAGCAGTGAGAGATGCACTGAAGACAGAATTCAAAGCAAATGCCGAGAAGACTGCTGGCAGCAATGTAAAAATTGTGAAAGTAAAGAAGGAACAATCTGTGTAAGTTACTGATTTATTTAGAACAGTTGCATCTGAAGTTTTTGGAACACCATAAAGATCAAAATAATTTTAGTTTTGGGTTCTGATCATTTTTTAGTCAGTGTATTTGGAAGTTAGTTATTGGGATAATATAATTTAAAGCATACAGGTTATAGAAGTCCTGTGGCCTAATAAAAAGAAAGTCTTTTCAGGCCCTGACAAGCAGAAGTAATTGGCACATTGATTTTCAGTTCATTTAGCAATGCTTAGGTAGAGAGCCGTCTTACTTTAATTAAACCTGTTTCATTTGTCTGCACAAATCAAATAATTTGGAGGATGAACTCCCCACTTTTATAATTGCTATTGGAGTTAACATAACAGTTCAAGAGCATGATAAATTGCAGTTCTTTATATTTTTATTTCCCCCACATCTAACTAATGTTTTCACAAATCACAACTTCCTGAACATAATAACTGCAAGTACAGGGAAGGGTCCTGCTGTTGTATCAAGCAATAAAATCTGCAACACCCTGCAGTGAATATTGTTTTGCTAAATTTATTATGCTTTCAGAGGGTTTGGTTCATTTTACTTTTTCAAAGATGTTGGTGATGTAAAGTTACATTCTCATGAAATTAAAAGTTCTGTACAGTTGCTAAGTATAGACTTTTGTGTTCCAGATTATAAAAGTGGTTTTATCTCTACTTTCTTGACACTGTTATTTCAAAGGTAGGCAAAGCAAATTGTCAGAGATGTTTTCCAGATTTAATTTTCTTGTTCTGCTTTTAAAAAGCTTCAGACCCGCAATAGCATGGAAATGTGAGAAACATTAATCCTTTGGCAGCTGGTGGTTAGGAGCAATTTTACTTATTGGAACTGTCTCCCCTAAGCAGTTTTTGTTTTCATTTTGAGTTAGTAAATATTTTATTACAAGTCTGGAGATGCAGTGTTTCGAATTTAGCCCTTTTTCTAGGGGCTGTCTAATCTCATAATTCTGAGTAATGAGACCCGGTTTTATGTTGGGTTGTTTTGTTTTAACAATAAGCTAACAGAAAATCGTTTAGCCTTAAACCGCTCTGCAGCAGAGCCACCAGACTCTGCATCAAACGCGGAGATTTTGCGGTGTCCTGGGGGTGGGGAATTAGTGTCCGACCCCCTTAAACAAAGCATTAGCCCCTCTCTGTTATGTCCTTCGGGATTAGGAACCTCACCTCATTAGCACAGGAGATGTGAGTGTCTTTTAAAAGCAAAGTAGTTTCTTTATTACTCGGAGAGTGTTTACTTTTACTCAGCCGAGAAACGCCTGCTGGACTAAGCCTGTGTACTTGAACCGGCACTTTTTACATCCAAGCCAAGGCAATGTGAATTATAGCCACAGTTATACAGTTCACTATAAGGAAGTTATTTCTGATATTCATGTTGAATTTTTAAGAAAACATCCTAGAACTAGCCGGCAACTGTTGCGTTTTCTTTTTCTTCCTAGACCCTGACTAAAACTTGATGTGCCGTATTTCCAAGGTGAAGATGTGTGGCCACATGTTACGGCAGATTGAAAAGGATCTTATTTCATGGAAAAAAAAAAAATCGTGTCTTGTTCATAAATTGACAGTGTCAATAAATTGAAGTATGGTTCACTGTTACTCTGGATTTTTAGTTTCTGTCAGACTTCTATTTTCTTTAGAGGAACTGTCTGCACAGCTGCATGATTATGGCCATATGAACCAGAGTTTCTTAAAAGCACGGGAAGCCAGATTTAATATTTAGTGACCAAAGGGATGCAGGAAACATTTTGAAAATCTCTCAAAATAGCTGTTTCGTGACATTAATTGGTGATCAGAATTATTTGCTGTCATTGAGGCTTTGTAGTCCCTTATTTTTGAATTGTTGTCAGAATAATGAATTGGTCATCAGTAACCTAAATGAAAATAATTATTCCATACTAAAAGTGCTTATTAGAAGAAATACTAAATTGTACTCAACGTTTTTTGTATTATGCACTTAAAACCTATAGATAAGAACAATTACTTTAAGCACAAAGTGCTTTTCACATTGTTTTGTAAATAAGAATCTTTATATTCTGGTAACATTTCTCATGGGAAATGAGGCAAAGCTATTTAGTAACTTGTTTGCTGAGTTGATGGCCAAACTAAAATTACAATCTAAAGTTTTTGACTGCGGGTCTGGGGCATGATGATCTCAACGCAGTTTCGTGGTGATTTTCATAGTGATTTCATTCATTGATTATTTAGGGATGAAGAATTGTTGCAAGTTACTGTTTTTATGTTTCTTTGAAACTTGGAAGCACTTGGCCAGGTAAAGTATCATTGCAAAGTTAATTGCCTGATTTTAACTGTATTTGGAGAATGGAGAAATAAATTTGAACTGGAAATTTTGAAACACCTTTCTAGGACCCGTTCTCGCTATGGTACTTAAGCTCACAAGAATTCGTCAGGGCCACTGGCAGCCATGCTGAGGCCAAGCCGAAAAGAAAGTCTTTGTCCCAGCTTCTGGGAATGACTTATTGTCCCAATACTTGACCTGTAGGTTTTATTGAATTTTCAGCACAGAGTGAGCAGGGAGGCCCAGCCGTTTGAGTGGGAAAGAGTGCCTTTGGACAACAGCACGTTAGGAGCCTCTGGAGTCCTTTGCCTCGGACCTGTCAGCCTGCTGTTTGCAAGTTAGGACACCTCCGTTCAGTGCTGTGGTCTCCGAGACTAAGGTACTAGGAAGCATCCTCCATTACAGGGAATAGGAATAAATAAATCACAGGTCTGAAGGGCCTTTTTGATACGGGTTGAATAAGGTAACTAATAAAGGGGCTAAATTATTTCCAGTCAAGTAATTAGAGATATGTTATTTATTAAGGAGGCAGATGGGATGCTTGAGAGGTGAGACTTAGGGACAGGGCTTGTGATATGGAAAGGAGTGAAGTAACTGAGTAAAAGACAAGTTTACCATCCAGCAGAGATTGTGAGAGGCTCTTTCTCTGTGATTAAAAAAAAAAATCCTGAACCAGTAGTATAATGAAATAAACTTCCTGCTTCCAGTGCTGCTGGGTAGCTGGCAGGACAGCTGTGCCCAGTGATGAGGTGACCTCGCTCAGACCAACTTGTGGGTATCCCACTAACTGATCGGGTGATGTTTGAGGGAGTCAGTCTCTTAGTTCACGTAGTCCTTGTGTGTGAAGTGAAGGAATCGGATAAGCTCTAAGATTCTGATTCTGCTGTCTCGGTCTCTGAGAGACCAATGTCACCGTAGCAACCATACTGCTAAAGGAATAAGCTCTTCAGAATCAGAAGGGACAGATTTCTCTGGGTTTCTAGTTTGTGTTTTGTTTTTAAATCTATTTCTACCATACAAAAGAGTAGGATGGTGAGACGCATTTCTAAATATTTTTAACTACTCAGTCTGGGTGGTTAGGCTTCAGGAAAAGGAATTGATTTAGTCTGAAATAAAGCAATTTTGCCAAATTATTTTATACTTTAATGATTACTATTGAGCAAACAAATCCTTACAGTACTGTAAATCACAAGTTTTCTAAAGGTTTAAATCCCTCTCTCCTTACATCTATTTCATTGCCTCTTTAGGTTTGGGAAGTAAAGCGCCAGAGGAAGCATGTGTGAATCCTTGTATAATCGCAGGGTGTAGGTCTTCAGCATTCAGGAAGTTACTAATTTCAAACTAAGTATATAGGTGCAGTGGTGCAGTTTCTTACTAAATCTAGTGCTTCTTGAACCACAAGTAGAAAGTGTTGAAAACATGATGGTGGTTTTGTGTTTTTTGAAGTTTGTAAATAGAAGACTTGTTGGTGATCCCAATTGCAAGGTTATTTTTCTCTTGATGTGTACTTTAGTTATTTCCTCATGATGCATACGTGAGAAGAGTGAAGTTTCTCAGAATGAGCAACTGTCATCCATTCACCTGCTATTTTTTTATTGCTGATTACAAAAGCAAATCAAGAGATGAAAACCCAGTTGCCTGCAAGTAAATATTTACTGCAGTGAGGGTCGGAGCATTTTCCCATTACCAGTTATCCGTGGATCAAATAGTGTATCTCAGTGGTAATTCTAGAGGGCCATTAAAACCCTGATGGTGCTGGAAGAGATGGCAGTGCTGCCTGTCAGAAATAGGTAAACTGTAATTAAGAAGTTATGGTTGATTTGATTGCGCTCTTGTGTATTTGGTCCTGTTGTAATGTGAGCAGATTAAAATGATGTCGTGGTTAAAGCTGTGTCATGCAAACATTTATGGCAACTTCTGCAAATTAATTTGAACTGTAAAAGTTCCTTAATGAGACGACGTCCTCCTCCGTAACTGAGAAGGACGCTGCAGCCGCTGCTGCTTCATTCCTGCATTTGAATGGTTGCTGATCAGATGATGTGCCCTTTCTCGAAGAGGCTGCCGAGCTTTTTGGGGGGTGATTGCTGAATGAAAGTGAAAAGAGCACTTCAAAAGAGCCTTTAAAAGGAAAACCAGGGATGATTATTAATGAGTTCCTGGGATCTAACGCTAAAAAGAAATTTAAAATATATAACCGTACATGTTCAAAGCTAGCTCTTCAGAAATAAAGATCAGAGGGCTGCAGATGAGTTTTGCTTGTCTTTCTGTTTTTCGTGTTGGGACCAGGTGTTTTTCTAGGGAGGACTGTGGCTTTTCTTTTTCCTCTCTTCGAGTTAGCAGGTTGTGTGCACAGGTCCACACAACATGGATTATTTCTAGAGGATGTTGACTTACACTGACCTTGGCTCTGTAGCTCTCCATGTACTAGTCAGGCACCTGGCTCTTGTGAACGCTGGCAGGCACAGGGAGGCAGGATGCCAGGCAGCATTTGCTCAGAGGAGAGAACCTAAGGGAAGAGTCTTAGTAGTCCTCGGATACCAAGTGAGGATTCCAGGGTGCTTATCAATGCTGCTCGAATTTAGAAAGTTAACACCAGCTGCGGTGGCTCCTGCAGATCCACACGTGTAGTCTGGATGCCTGGCATGGGGCATATAATAAATAGCCAGTGAACACTTTGAAACAAAGGGAGCACTTTACACTTTGCAGTATTTTTAAGTTAATAAGTACGCATTTAATGTCAAACTCGTCAAAGTTAGTAAATGTCAGCAAAGACCCTAATGCCTATCAGCTGCTCCCCACCCCGTCTCCCGCAGTCCCTGTGTTGAAGCTAATGATGAGTGCATATCATTCACTGTGCTGCAGTGCAGAATGGGTTTTGGAGTGCTGCAGGAGAAACACTAATCTAATGAGAAACTGTTCTGTAAGCGGCTCCGTGGCACAGCTTCTCTCACAGTTAATGTCCCTTATCTTCTGGCTCCATTTCTGCCTCCTCCGTGACCTCTTCATTTTCCTCTAGAACTGCTTTGGCATCTTGAAATTGTTGGTACTCAGATACCAAATCATGGATGTTACTTTCAGCTTCCCCAAACTCGTTTATGTCCATCCCTTCGCTGGTGTACCAGTGCACAAAAGCTTTCCTTTTGAACATGGCTGAGAAATGCTCAGAGACCCTATTAAAGATCTCTTGGATGGCTGTGTTGTTGCCAATGAAGGTGGCGGCCATGCTCAGCCCCTGGGGCGGGATGTCGCAAACAGCCACCTTGACATTGTTCGGAATCCACTCCACAAAACAGCCGCTGTTCCTGGTCTGCACGGAGAGCAGCTGCTGGTCCACTTCCTTGGTGGACATCTTGCCCCGGAAGATGCAGGCCACTGTTAGGTAGCGGCCACGGCGGGGGTCACAAGCAGCCATGGTGTTGCGAGCGTCGAACATCTGCTGGGTGAGCTCGGCCACGGAGAGGGCCCGGTACTGCTGGCTGCCCTGGGCCATGAGCGGGGCAAAGCCAGGCATGAAGAAGTGCAGGCGGGGGAAGGGGACCATGTTCACTGCCAGCTTGCGCAGGTCTGCGTTGAGCTGACCCGGGAACCGGAGGGAGGTGGTTATGCCACTCATGGTCAAGGACACCAGGTGGTTGAGATCCCTGTAGGTGGGTGTCGTCAGCTTGAGGGTACGGAAGCAGATGTCGTAGAGGGCCTCATTGTCAATGCAGAAACAGGCATCTGCATTCTCAATCAGCTGGTGGATAGACAAGACCGCGTTGTAGGGCTCCACCACTGTGTCCGACACCTTGGGGGAAGGCATGACACTGAAGGAATTCATGATCCGGTCCGGGTAGTCCTCCCTGATCTTGTTCATGAGCAGAGTGCCCATCCCGGAGCCTGTGCCCCCGCCCAGGGAGTGGACAATCTGGAAGCCCTGCAGGCAGTCACAGCTCTCGCTCTCGTGCCTCACCACCTCCAGGACATTCTCGATCAGCTCAGCTCCCTCCGTGTAATGGCCTTTGGCCCAGTTGTTGCCAGCCCCAAAGTTACCTGTGGCAAAAAAAGAGTAACCAGCAAGGTGAAAAGAGAAGGGCACCATTAAGGCATCCGCCACTCCTCCTGGTGGAAGCTTCTGGAAAAACCTACCATGGACAAAACTGTTGGGTTGAAAGAGGGCTCCTAATTTGCTAGATCGAATGCTGTCCATCATCCCAGGTTCTAGGTCCACCAAGACTGCTCGGGGCACATATTTCCTACCTGTGTAGAAAAATAGGAAAAAGTCCGCATGCTTGTTTTTCTAAAAGTTAATGTTTTATCAGAATAGACCTTGCCATACTGGTCCAAAAAAATCATGGATATTCTAGAAAGGGGCCCTTGGTAGGTTGAGATTTGAGTATCTAACATCGCATTTTTGACCCCAACAGCAATCTCAGAAATCTGTAGAATGCCCAAGAAACACTTTCCATCGTGGCTCTGCGATAGTGCCAGTGACAGAGATTCTCTTCTTTCATATTGGAAATGATTCTGGTTTCATTTGTGAAACCACAGAGGAAAGTGAGTACTTCACCTGCTTGTGTTAAGGTGTGTGCCCCATCCAGCAGCTTCTTCCCCAGTCCTGCCTCTTGACCAGGGGCTGGGGACCCACCACTCTGGGGATCCTGCTGCCCTGCCTGCCGCCTCCCTGAGCCTGGTCATCACTGCATTGACATTTCTGTCTCCTTGGCCTCTACCCTTCCTTTGTCTGTGTTTCCAGTTGCCAGATCACTGCTCCCAGAGCCCCCCGGGCCTACCGTAGGCTTCGTTGTAGTACACGCTGATTCTCTCCAGCTGCAAGGCCGAGGCCCCGCGGTCACTCCCAGCTGAGTCGATCCCATGCTCCTCACCAATCATCTCCCAGAACTGAAAGCAGGAGGAAGGTCAGAGTAAAGGGACCCCCCAAAAAGGCTGTGTTAGTCAAAGAGAAAGTTAGCACTCCCAGGCCTGTTTCCCTGGGGTTGCCTGACCCTTCCCAAGCCATTCTTTTGGGGCCTTTTCATAAATAACCATGGCATCATTTACTTTTTGCCTCTACTAAGCAATATTGAAGTAATATGAAGGCTGCATTTTCTCCCCACCTGAACTTAAATAAAATGTCACAAAATACTAAATTGGATTGTGCTCCTATTAACTTGAGGCCATTATATACATTAAAACTGTTTTTAGAATTTAACATCAATGTGTCTCTAATTTCTCTTTATAATGCTCCAAGCTAGTAAAGTGTAGATTCCATTAAAGGAAAATAAACTGAATTTTTATCTGATTTCACAACAATACTTCACTTTGGGGATTTCTTTTCATGAACTTTTCCAAACAACCCATAACTTGGACCTCTATGCATGATTTTAAGTAATATGCTTTTTTTTTTTTTTTTTGAGACCGAGTCTCACTCTGTCACCAGGCTGGAGTGCAGTGATGCAATCTCAGCTCATTGTAACCTTGGCCTCCCGAGTAGCTGGAACTACAGGTGTGTGCTACCATGCCCAGCTAATTTTTATATTTTTAGTAGAGATGGGGTTTTACCATGTTGGCCAGGATGGTCTCCATCTCTTGACCACGTGACCTGCCCACCTCAGCCTTTCAAAGTCTCTTGACCACATGATCTGCCCACCTCAGCCTTTCAAAGTGCTGGGATTACAGGCATAAGCCACCATGTTGTTGTTTTGTTGTTGTTGTTGTTGTTGTTGTTTTTGAGACAGAGTTTTACTCTTGTAGCCCAGGCTGGAGTGCAATGGCATGATCTTGGCTCACTGCAACCTCCACCTCCTGAGTTCAAACAGTTTCCTGCCTCAGCCTCCCAAGTAGCTGGGATTACCTCCCAAGTAGTCATCCGCCACCATGCCCAGCTACTTTTTGCATTTTTAGCAGAGATGGGGTTTTGCCATGTTGGCCAGGCTGGTCTTGAACTCCTGACCTCAGGTGATCCACCTGTCTCAGCCTCCCAAAGTGCTGGGATTACAGGTGTGAGCCACCACACCTGGCCAGTAATATGCATTTTTTATGACCAGGTATACACACAATTCAAAATTATACATAGTTGTCCTCTAGTAACTATTTGAAACACATGGCCCTTCCAGTCACATACATAGTACTTATTAACATAAATATGTGCCAAGCTCTTAATATGCAAACAGTTACTGGGATGAGTCCTTTTGATCACCCTGAAAAGCACATATTAAAATGCAATGAAAATGTATTCACATATATTAAAATCCCTGAGGGTATGTTAAAATCCCCAATCATAGGCCAAGGTCTTAGGAACAAGGCATTCATGGTAATCTGCCGGCACTGTTCAGGGAGTGGAAGAATAATCAAATTCAAGTTCTAAGATACCCCAAACTAAATGTGTCTTAAAGTTCTTATGGCTCCAAATTTATGAGTCGGCCAGGACTCTCAACACTAGACAATGCGATTCTGGAGTGAGAGCTGAGACTCTATCTAAAGCCAGCCACCTTCTCCCGAGGGCCCCTCTCTGTATTATCTGCCAGCTTCAGTGCAGCAGGGCTCATGCCTGCCACTTCTCTGTGTGTTAGTTATGAATGTCTTACCCTGAGGCATGGAGGAATGGTGACTTCTTTTCAAGCAGTAATGTTCTTTGCCCCGGGTTTAAAATACCTGCGTTTAAAAGCCGTAGTTGCTTCCTGGCAGCATTACTCACAGTAGCCAAAAGGCAGAAACAACCCAGGTGTCATTGATGGATGATGAATGTAGGTGTTTTAAAACCTGACTTTTAATGCAACTCATACTAGTAAAAGGAAATTCACAATAGCAAAGAGAACACGATAAATTTTGCACAGTGCAATTGGTCATCTTAAAATCAAGACTGGAGATCATGGGTTCGGGCACCTGTGTTCTTGGGGTTGGCCTATTAGGTACTTCATAGAAAATCTCAAGCAGGGGAGGTAAGAGAGAAAAAAATAATTTATCGTCCAGAGGGTATATTTTGATGAATTCTGCTACTGTACACAAAACTTTTTTTTAGGTCTACTCTTAAATTTTCAATTGCATACTAATAAAACAGTAATTGGTGGATTTTTTCTTTGTTGTTTTGTTTTGTTTTGTTTTTGAGATGGAGTCTTGCTCTTATCACCTAGGCTGAAGTGCAGTGGCAAAACCTCAGCTCACTGCAGCCTCCTCCTCCCAGATTCAAGCAATTCTGCCTCAGCTTCCCAAGTAGCTGGGATTATAGGCACCCGCCACCACACTAGGCTGATTTTTATATTTTCAGTAGAGACAGGATTTCACCATGTTGGCCAAGCTGGGTTTGAACTCCTGACCTCATGACCCGCCTGCCTCAGCCTCCCAAAGTGCTAGGATTACAGGCGTGAGCCATCATGCACGGCCAGTAATTGATTTTTTTAAGCTTTATAATAAACATGAGAAGGGAGGGAAAAGACACCTTAGTGACAGGGTATAGAAAGTTCCTCAACAAACTTCAAAAAGCTGTTTTGAGACAAATTACTATTTTTAGATATGTAAAGTTCATTATTAAGATGATAAAAGTGGGCTGGGTGCTGTGGCTCACACCTATAATCCCAGCACTTTGGGAGTCCAAGCTGGGCATATCACCTGAGGTCAGGAGTTCTAGACCAGCCTGAACAACATGGTGAAATCCTGTCTCTACTAAAAATACAAAAGTAGCCAGGTGATGCATGCCTGTAATCCCAGCTACTCAGGAGACTAAGGCAGGAGAATCACTTGAACCCAGGAGGCGGAGGTTGTGGCGAACCAAGATCATGCTATTGCACTCCAGCCTGGGCAACAAGAGCAAAACTCTGTCTCCAAAAAACAAACAAACAAACGAAAAAAACAGAAAAGGGAAAAAAAGATGATCCCACCCAGTACTTTGAAAGGCTGAGGTGGAGGATCACTTGAGCCCATGAGTTCAAGACCAGCCTGGGCAACAAAGTGAGATTCCCCATCTCTCAAAAAAATAAAAAAATTAGCCAGGCATAGTGGTGCATGCCTATAATCCCAGCTACTCAGGAGGCTGAGGCAGGAGAATAGCTTGAGCCCAGGAGGTTGAGGCTATGGTGAGCTGTGATTGTGCCACTGCCCTCTAGCCTGGGCAACAGAGAGAGACCCTGTCTCAAAAAAAAAAAGATGATAAACATACTATATAATGGTTGGCATTTATTGTACTTATGTATCTATGGACAAAATTAACATTCTAAGCCCTTAATGTGTCTTGTATCTCTTTAATTAGAGATTATTTCCTTATTTTCCTGTGTAAAAAAAAAAAAAAAAAATTGAGAATTATTGTAAAGCCTGAAGGCATTGTAGCAAGTGCATGAAATCTTCTAGACTGATTGTGCTCCCTGCTCACTTAGGGTGTTCTCTTGGTTGTCTGCCTCTATGGACCGTGGCAAAGCTAGGATTATAACCAGACGTTACTCACCTTGGCTCCGATCTGGTTGCCACACTGGCCAATCTGAATGTGGACAATTTCACGCATCCTTGCTTTGAGCCCAAGTCAGATCTTCACAGAATCCTCAGACTCTCAGAATCCAGAGCTTCGGTTCACTGGTGTGAGCCCAACACAGCTGTGGTCATTGCAGTGGTGGGACTGGCTGACCAAGCCACCCTCACAGTGTGACCCAAGGGTGTGTCCACCCCAGAGGCCCAGCTCCCTGCCCTCAGCCAGTCCTGGCCCTTCTCTGCTTTCTGCATGTCATGCTTCTGGGAGGGGGTGTTCTTCCTCTCTCAACACAGAATACTGCCCCATCATTTCCTAGAGAGCGAGTGCAAGATTAAAGGCCGCCTTGGTGCACAGGGCCTGGAGGCTGGCACTGTTTGCAGACCTCTAGGCGCCCATGCTTGCTCTGATGCCCGTGGTGTGATGACTGGCTCCTCGCTCACCCAGGTGACCAGACCACCTCCAAGGGCTTTTCCTGTCCAACTTCCCAGCCCATTTTCCAGACTTTGGTCCCCAGAAGCCCCGTGCTCTGATACAGTGAGAGGATCCACGGATGGACCTGGCAGGTCACAGGTATTGCCAGCATCAGGCATTGTCTGCCTGCCCATCCCTAAAATGCCCTTTCTTACCCTGTCTGCCAGTTACTCTGCAGTGCCCTGCAGGCCTCTCAGACCCCTGCCCTGCCCGTGCCAGGGCTGGGCTGCCCCTCAGCACCCTTCCCAGTGCCCATTCTGTTGCCCCATCACTCCTGTCATGGCATCTGGAGTCTTAACGTTTGCCATAAGGTCCCTTTACCAGACCCTGAATTCTCCAAGAGCAAAATGGACTCCCAGTTGCCTTCTCTTAGGGCCAGGTGCAGTGGCTCACTCCTGTTATCCCGGCACTTTGGGAGGCCAAGGTGGGTGGATCACCTGAGATCAGGAGTTCAAGACCTGCCTGGCCAACATGCCGAAACCCCGTCTCTACTAAAAATACAGAAATTAGCCAGGTGTGGTGGCGCACACATGTAGTTCCAGCTACTTAGAGGGCAAGGCATGAGAATCGCTTGAACCTGCGAGGGGGAAGTTGTAATGAGCCGAGATCGTGCCACTGCACTCCAGCCTGTGCGACAGAGCAAGATTCAACAAAACAAAACACCATTGCACTCTCTCATATGCAGTATAGAGTGGCAGCAGGCTCGGTACTCAGCCACTGAAAGCAGCAGTTCATTCTCCCGGTCCTTAGCACATCCCCTGCCCTCAAGCTTCCATCAACATTGAAAGCTAGCCCTAGGCTTCATTACCTCCAAACATGCAAGGGCATCTGGGCCAAACACCAGCTCCATATCCTTGCCCAAGAGAGTGGCAGTTCCCTACCGCCTGGAGATGAAGTGGAGGCTTCCAGAGAAGAGGGGAAATGGACTCCCTGAGAAGGCGTGAGAGCCGTGGCTCAGAAGAAGGGAGAGCTGGTAGGCACGACCTTGTGCCCACTTCACTCTGGAGGTGCAGATACAAGGGAAGGTACAGGGCAAATCTCACTCCTGAAGCTCTGAGGATGTGGGCAACCACCATTGGTGAGCACCTGCCTCCTGAAGCCTCTCTTCAACATCTGATCTGCCTGTGTTCATTCTGAGGCTGCCCCCATTCATTGATGGGGTCCTGTCATATGCTGGGCTCACCTTGAGTGCTAGAGAATGAAGCACCCAACTCCTCCCTGCTCAGAGGTAAAGAGAAGAATGTAAATTCAAGAGGAGGATATTCATATGTCCTCAGCAGTATTTTTATTTGTTATTATTATACTTTAAGTTCTGGGATACATGTGCAGAACATGCGGGTTTGTTACATAGGTATACATGAGCCATGGTGGTTTGCTGCACCCATCAACCCATCATCTACATTAGGTATTTCTCCTAATGATATTCCTCTTGAAGCCCTCCACCCAACAACAGACCCGGGTGTGTGATGTTCCCCTCCCTGTGTCCATGTGTTCTCATTGTTCAACTCCCACTTACGAGTGAGAACATGCGGTGTTTGATTTTCTGTTCCCTTGTTAGTTTGCAGAGAATGATGGTTTCCAGCTTCATCCATGTCCCTGCAAAGGACATGAACTCATCCTTTTTTATGGCTGCATAGTATTCCACAGTGTATATGTGCCACATTTTCTTCAGTCTATCGCTGATGGGCATTTGGGTTGGTTTCAAGTCTTTGCTATTGTGAACAGTGCCGCAATAAACATACATGTGCATGTGTCTTTATGGTAGAATGATTGATAATCCTTTGGGTATATATCTAGTAATGGGATTCTCAGCAGTATTTTTCAGTAATTAAAAAGTGCCCACAGAACAGACCGTTACGGTTTCTATAGACGTTAGTGCATCTGGCCTCACTTCCAGCCTCTCTCCCTGCGAGTCTTGGCCTCTTTTCCCTTCTCTCTGTCCTCCTCCCCCCAGCTCTCCCCAGCCTCCTTCCCCACCCAGGGACCCCTGCCTATCAGATTCCTCCAAAGGTCAAAGACATTCCACGATCTCCCCGCAGGCAGTTCCCTGGCCAGAGACACCTCCCCTCCTGGGGACCAGCGCACTTCCACCTGCACGCCCACACACAGTCCTGTTTGCTGATTGCTTCTACACTTGCCTTATCTCCTGCCAGCTTAGGAGTTGCCCATGTCACTTCATCTTTGAGTCCCCAAAGTGCCTGATCCATGGCAGGGCCTCAGTAAATGTTTGTTGAGGCCACATGGACAGCTGGGCGACTTTGGGCAGTGATGGTCAGAGCGGGCTGAGTTTGTAAAGCCAGTGATGTAGTTATTCACAAGTGTGCCCTTCTCCAGGTGGGGTCACCTTTTTCCTCCATTCCGTAAGAGGTGGTCTAGGCTGAGCCGGGCGTGGTGGCTCAAGCCTGTAATCCCAGCACTTTGGGAGGCCGAGGCGGGTGGATCACGAGGTCGAGAGATCGAGACCATCCTGGTCAACATGGTGAAACCCCGTCTCTACTAAAAATACAAAACATTAGCCGGGCATGGTGGCTCGTGCCTGTAATCCCAGCTACTCAGGAGGCTGAGGCAGGAGAATTGCCTGAACCCAGGAGGCGGAGGTTGCGGTGAGCCGAGATTGCGCCATTGCACTCCAGCCTGGGTAACAAGAGGGAAAATCCGTCAAAAAAAAAAAAAAAAAAAAAAAAAAGAGGTGGTCTAGGCTGAAAGTATAAACTGTTCCAAGAACCTGGATGTTTGGGGACAGACCATAGATAGATGGATAACCGCAGTGAGCTATTATGGGAAGGTGTGGCCAGTGGGCAGCGCAGCCTTCTGTGGTCCAGCTCCTGAAAGGAGCCCCTGTTGGCCACAGACCACTTCGCTGCAGGGACCACTGGGCTGGGCCGGGCACTTCTGCTCTGCCTGTGTTCGTTCTTCAGCATGTGAGCAGGATCCGGGGTGCAGGGTCCTCTGCCCAGCCTCCACTCTGCGGCACATTCCCCGTGGCCATCTCAGCTTGCTTAAGGAGGGGAAAAAGCCAGGTTTCCAGATGGGTGCTTAAAGGTTTTTCTGTTAATGGGGCAGTTGGCAAAAAGGGGGAAAAAGAGAGAAGCCCTGTTTGCTTTGATTCCTGTATCGCCAGCTGTGTTTATTCAGGCCCAGCGAGTGCTGAGCTTTGGACGCTGGGCTGTGAGAGGGTGAGGGGCAGAGTGGCAGCTCTACCCCCAGGGGACCAACTCCTCCCTAGACCTGAATTTTTTTCTTTTCTTTTCTTTTTTTTTTTTTTTGAGATGGAGTCTTGCTCTATCACCCAGGCTGGAGTGCAGTGACATGATCTTAGCCTACTGCAACCTCTGCCTCCCGGCTTCAAGCAATTCGCCTGCCTCAGCCTCCCAAGCAGCTGAGACTACAAGCACACACCACCATGCCTGGCTAATTTATAGTAGAGATAGGGTTTCACCATATTCATATTAGCCATCTGGTCTCGAACTCCTGACCTGGTGATCCACCTGCCTCAGCCTCCCAAAGTACTGGGATTATAGGTATGAGCCACTGCGCCTGGCCGACCTGAATCTTTTCATGTGAAAAATGAAATAGCAGTCCCCATATCACAAGTCAGTGTGAGGACTGAGCCTGCCAGGGCTGACCCCCAGCTCGGAGCTGCCAGTGGTGTTTTTCAAGTGGGCTTTGCAGGGTGGGAGGAGGAGATGCGGCTCTTGGTGCAGACAGATCCATGAGTTCCACACCTAAGGACGGGGCACCTACCAGGCAGCAGGCATGGCACGGCTGTGTGCACTGGGGCTGTCTCCATTTAGGAGAGAAAGGCAGCAGATCTGGAAAGCAGTCTCAGCTCCTGTCCCAGCTCTCTTGTCCTGGTTTATTTTTCTTTTTTTTCTTTTTTGAGACTTAGTCTCCCTTTGTCACCAGGCTGGAGTGCAGCGGTGCACTCTTGGCTCACTGCAACCTCCATGCCCCGAGTTCAACGATCCTCCTACCTCAGCCTCCCAAGCAGCTGGGACTACAGGCATGCACCACCATGCCCAGCTAATTTTTGTATTCTTGCCCTTGTTTCTGAAGGTACCTGCTCCCCAGAGGAAACAGCTCTCCTCCGGTTGGCACCTTAATGCCAGCAGTGAGGTGGGGAATACAGACTGCCTTGCCCTCAGACTGGCAGGAGTGGCCCCTGTGCAGGACACGTGTGAGCAATGACCCTGGAGACGCCAGCACGCCCCCAAGGTCTGTTTTGCCAGGCTGAAGGTGAACCCCTGGTCCTGAACTTCAGCAAGTGAGTGAACAGTGGCCACTGTGATGAATGAGAGTCATTTTCTGCCCCCCACAAAGGGCTGTGACCAAGGCAGGTTAGCAGTGACTGCATTTAAGTAAGGAGATCAGCAAGCTTTGCCTCAGAGGGCAGAGGGCAGGAGCTTCCTTCTAGCAAGTGTGGCCAGGACTCCCACAGCCCCCGACACAGATTCCCAACCGGGGCCAGTCCAGCCCTGAACCTGAAACCCTCTCCTCCCCTGGCCTGACACCATTCGCAGCCCACAGAAGGCTCTGTGGCAGCAAAACTCTTCCTGCATGACACTTGGGTCTATTACAGGAATAGAACCAGGAAGATAAGAAAAACCAGTGTCACCCAGAAACCCCAAATCGGCTGCTTCCAGACTTCCCCCAAGAGTTGTCCCCCAGTGGTCAGGTGGAGCTGCCCCCACCCTCCATTTGGCAAATGGAA